TTGTCGCCGTAAAGTAGATATAGCGGTTTCTCGTATAATAGAGGTAAGCTAGGCACTTACGTGCTTCGTGCCTATAGCGCGGCCCGGGGTTATAATTGTATTAGGCTAGCTTTCCGGCTATAAATGCGATATCTAGCCTAGTATGAATTGCTAGATAAATAAGCAACTTAATTAGAGAGAGATATTCGTGTATCTCTTCCTTTAAGGCCTGCTTTTTATAGGGGACGAGCTCTTCTATTATTAGCGGGATCTTAGGCTTACGAAGGATATTATTATTAAGGATATAATATTTCTTCGCGGTCTTAGAGATATAGGAAGCTTGCGAGAGCTATATCTTCTTAAGATCCCTATCCCTAATAATCTCGATGCTAAGGAACTAGCGTAGCTCTCCTATATACGTAACGGTGTATTTCTTCGTGATAGCCTTATATAGCTCTTCCTAATCTTATTTTTGCCTTTTCGGATATATTATAACGATGTTATCTACGAAGATAAAGATAATAACGCCCTTATAGACTAGTACGCAGGCGTCTTCTACTAGCTGCTAGGCTCCTAGTTTAGTAAAGAAACTAGATATCTCTTTAAACTATAGCTTTAGAGAGATACGGAGCCCGTATAGTGCTTTTAATAGCTTTAGGCATAGCCTAGGCATTGAGAATCCCGGTGGAGGCTAGAAATAGACTTCTTAGCGTAGGATTGCGTATAGAAATGCTGTTTTTACGTCGTATTGTTCCGTCTCGAAGTCCTCGAGGCAGCAGAAGGCTATTAGTAGTCGAAATGTTCGTGCTCGTAGGGTAGCTGCATATATATCCTCGTTACCTTCGGGTTATAGGTCTCTACGAACCACAATACGTGCTTTAAAGCGTGTAATATACCCCTATTTATCGGTCTTATATGCAAAGACCTAACGTAAGGGGATTAGGAAGTGACCTTTCTATTTGATAATAGCTTTTAGGATAGTCTTCTATGTGCCCCTTGCTAGGTTTTCCTCCATTTCGCGGTCTATAGCTTCCTTCCACTCGTATACGAATTCTAAAGCCATTGCCGCGTTAAAGGAGGTAGGGGGGGGCGGCATATCTTCAACGTAAAGCTTATATTTGCTTGCCTTTGCGATAATATTATTAATAAGGGATTTCTTAGGCCTACGAGCCCGTTTTCCTTTAATAACGTTGCTTAGGTTAATCCCTTATAACGTATCCTTTCGTCTACGTTGTTCTTATATTTGTGATGTCCTTGAGCCGGCCCTACTAACCGCTAGGTTAAGGGTGCGGGGTTCGGACTAGGGGTCATCTTCTTAAACCCGTACTACAATCGTTCCTTCACCCCCTAGGTTAAGAGGTATATTATTGCGTTTGTCTTAAGGAGACGAGTCGATTAATATAGGTATCGTATCTTTAAGCTGTCTCCCTAACGAGATATAGGAGGGGTTGCTGGCTATAGTATCTATTGCGGGCGTAGGAGGCATAGAGCTTAGTAACTCCGTGTTAAATATAGTATTAGGTAGAAGGGGTGACGTTGAAATCTCTATCCCTAGGCCTACTATTTCCGGAGGGGAAAGATATATATATCTATGTGATCCCTGTAAGGGCGTTTTTAATCCCTGATCTTCCGGAGTATGTAGGGGCAATAGGTCCCGTAGGAGGGTAATTGCTTCTTCCGGCGTCTAACCGTTATCCGTATTATCGTCGGATAAACTTAGTACCCTAAAGGTTTTGGGTTCCCCGCTGTCTATAACGTCGGTTGCGGCTATATCTCTAAGGATATCGTAGCTGTATATTTAGACTAGCTAGGCTTGCTCTTCTCTTTTTATATCGTAGCTTATAGACTCGTTAAACTATATATTAGCTAATACTATTAGTTTGTTCTATCTAATTAACGGTATCTATACGACGTATTATTAAGTAGACCTATAGCCCACTAGGTAGCCGATATAAGCTCTCTGCTTAAGGGGTAATTGCGTCTTATATAACTTAATGTGTTCTAATGCCGTAATTATTATTAGGAACGCTATATAGCTAAAGACCCTTAAATGTATAATGTCTAGTTTAATATCTTTAATATAGTAATATAGTAGATTATTTTCTTTTATCTAGGTCTACTAACGCTCGTATGGGCTCTGCTAGCTATGATTATATAATTCGAAGGGTGTTATATTAAGCAGGTATACCGCTATACGGTATATCTCTAGCTATAGCTCTTCTAGAAGCTTTAAGTTAAGCCTTATAACCCTTGCTTTTTCCTTTACTATTGCCCTTAATCTCTCTACGTGACCGTTTTGCGTAGGCGTTGAAGGGGCTGATTGTATGACTCGTATCCCTCTATTAGTTATATGATCTATTTGTTCTATTGTTAAAAGAGCCCTTTCCCCGTTAGTGACTAATATAGTTATTTTAACTCCGTACTAGGTCTTAAGTAACGCTACGAAGTTATTAAAGATATCCCTAATACCCGTTTTTCTTTCTATTAGGTAATAGAACCTTATAGATATGTCTATATAGGTAAATAGGGCGAAGTTCTTTTCCCCGTTATATGCTATTATAGGGCTAGGGTGAAGGTCGAAGCTAACTTGCACCCCTAGACCTTTAGGCCTTAGGGATGGTGTTTTTCTCGAGACTTCCCTCTTAGCTTTCCCTGTTGCGTATATCTGATAGCTGTATGTTGTAGGGCCTTAAAGCTTGGTGCCTAGGCAGGCTTCTAATAGCTTCTCTAGTGATTTTAGACTAGGATGCCTAAGGCGGCGATGCTATAGGTCACCCACCCCCCTAGTTAGCGGCTTAGGCGCTTATATAACTGCGAATACCCGCTTATACTGCGGGAGTGTTCCTATTACGAATTGACCTTCGAAGTCGGTTAGTTTAATACGAACCTCCTTCGTAGGTTCCGAATAGAGGTATCCTAGGAGCTGGTTCTAGAATATCCCTGCCGTCATCCCTAGCCTAGCTAAGAAGACACTTATCGGCATTTCTAGGATAAAGTAGGCATCTAGCAGGGTTATCTTTCCACCGTTAATTATAGGGATAACTGCTGTTCCTATTCCTTATACCCTAAAGGCTTAGTCTCTAACCTAGACTTCGTTGTTAGAACCCTACTTAAAGGTTCCTTCCTAGAACTAACCTAGGTTATTAAAGAGGTTAATATCGGCCCCTAAGTCGTATATTAATTTATCGGTAAGTAACGACGTTCCCTTAATAGCCGTGTTTACCCTAGATAGAGTAACCGTATTAATAGTCTTTCCTAGCCCGTTATTGCTAATAATAGTGTCTGCTGGTTCTCTTCCTTTAGGGTGGGAATTAGGGGTCTAGGCTATGCATTTTACTTTCTCGTCTAGATGGTCCTTTAGCCGTTTTTCGATATTCTATTTAGCTAGATCACTGTATTTCTAGCCTATCGGGGGCTTCTTATTATATATTACCCGTAGTAAGTAGCAATTTTCCTACTAGCTTGTTGAGCTATTAACGTGCTGCTTATAGCTAGCGCATTTAGCTTAGGTGTCTGATTTCCTAGAGATTTAATTAGCGCTTCCCCTTTTTACGGGTAGTTGCGACTTCTTCCTATAGGTATATTCTTATTTAAAGTTAGCGATTAGGTTCCTTAGGGGAAGTTGATTTTTGCCGTGTCTTTCGTTATAGAGGTCGAGAGCCCTTATTGTTATAGACTAATATAGGTCCCACTCGTCTGCCGCTATAAGAAAGTCCTATCTAATTCTTATATCGTTAAGTGTGTCGACCTTAAGGTCTCGTAAATCTATGATAATTTGGTCGAGCTATTCTGCCTATGCTCTCTAGTCTTGCGTGCCTCTTTTGTTAATAGAGGTCGTGTATCTCTCGTAAATCAGCTTTTTCTCCTCTGCCCCTAAAGGCAGGGCTTGCTTCTTTAATTCCTTGATTTTCTCTCTTAGGCTATTATGCATTAGGGTTATCCCTTAAAGCCCTTTACTGATCGTTTTCTTGATTAATTCTTCGAGTGCGATTAGGGCTTTCTACTAGACCTTATAGCGATCGAATTATAGCTAGAACCTTTTCTCGAGGTTGCGAAAGGAGTCCTTTATATCCTAGTATCGTTCGTTATAGCCTATTCGCCTCGCTAGGAACGCAGCCTCGGTTTTATCTTCTCGTTAGGATGGTCTCCCTCTAAGGTTGACAATAAATTGCTCCTAGTCCGGCCATTAGGGCTATTTAAGCTCTTTTATGCCGTCTAGGTTAGCATATTCCTAAATCTCGTGAGTCTAGGCCCACGATTTGATCCCCCTAATCTATGGGGTCCAATCGAGGCTTTCCTTTAGTCTCACGATATAATTATCCCCTCTTACTTCCTTTAACGTTATCTTAGGAAAATAAGGGGTTCTGGCTTAATAAGTAATATCCTTCTTTAAGGGATGCGTAATTCGTGCAATTCGTGTGTTTCTGGTAGTGCCCCTTAGTGTGGCTAGGTTCCTTGCCTTAATACCACAATTTGAGCGTTATAACGGCGTTGATAGCTCGTAAATAGCTTTAAAGGTGATATCGGCGGGCAAAAGATGGTCTAGCCGTGCAGGCCGGGCTCATAACTCTCAAGTAGTGGCTTGAGAGCATAGTGGAAGAAATAGGGGCATAGAAAGGTGAATTTAGTGATGCATATCTTGGTCTATCTATTGGGACAAGGGAGGGGCTTATATAGGTACAGTGACCACATATAGCTAGCTAAAAGAGGGCAATAGGATATTCCTATACCTAAGTTAGGCCTGCATAGTGTCTTTGGGCTAGGGGAGTCATGTTATTTAGGCAGGCTTCCTTGTGCATGACTATTGGGTCCACTGAGCATGATTGTGGCCTCTTATGCCCATTCTCTCTCCTCAACAGTAGCCTATAAGCAAATACCTATAGGTATTTTTAAGTCTAGACACAACCACGGATTCAGATCTCCTCCAATCCATTCAAGTATTCTTGAGCACAACCGTAATCTTCTCTTTGTCGAATTCCTCGATTCATAGGACAGCATCGAAAACCCCAGTGGCAAGGCTTCTAGCACTTTTGCCGGACCGCGCTGGCAAACAGAGCATAGGTATCCGCGTGGTTGAGGTTCTGTTCGGGAGTCAGGCTGCGAATAAACTGATAACCGTAGCCTCCGTAGTCCTTGGTGCCCTTGATACGCTTCAAGTGGGTTACCTCGTGGATATTGGTGGTGGCCTGGTCCTGGTGGTGGCAGCCTCTGGCAAGATCGGGAAGGGCCTTGAAGTACAGTGGGCAGAAAAACATCTTTCCTCGAGCCGGCGTCGTGTACGCCAGAGTTCCGCCGTCGCATTTGTTGAAGACATCAGTGCAGTAGTACTCGGCGATGCCACCCGTGGCGGAGCCGCATTCGAAGGCGACGCGGTCAAAGACACCCGAGACGGTGTCGCGGACTTCCTGGCTGGATGACTGAAAGTACTCTTCCATCTTGTCCGCGGGTCCCCAAGAAGCGGCCATGCGAGCGTCCCTCGCCATGGAAGCACATTCGGTCAGTGCCTTTCGAGTGATTATGTATTTCTCGCCGTTGCAGTCGCTCTGGACAAGAGTGCGTTTTGCAAGTGAGGCCAAGGAGCTTGAGGCGGCGCGGCTGCCATCAATATCGGCCACAATGTGGTTGGAGATGTACGGGATGGAGCCGATCAGCTTGGTGCTGTTGTCTTTGGCAAACGCGAAGGCTCCATCGACACGGACCCCAAACTTGCCCCCAGAGGTAAGATTGTGAACGTCGGCGAGGTCAAAGGCCGTCTCGACAGATTGTCCGGGAAGGATATACTGGAAATGATTCTCGCTGAGAGCTCCCAGTGCAATCCGTAGTTGAATGCCCTCGAATTCAATGGGCTGGTCTGAACGTGGGTCAGTATAGATTTCGCCGTCGACACTGCTTGGTAATACACACCATCAGCGAAGACCGTTGCCTTCTCGACAGGAACAGGGCTGAGGATGCTGCCGGTCTTAAGAACTTTGAGACTCTCCTGGCCCTCATTTTTGATGACGGCCTTGACCTCCGAGTTGCCGACCATCTCGATCTTGACTTTGAGGGGCGAGGAAGCACGCTTCTCCCGAGATGGAGCGGCGAGGGTCGAGGCGGCGAGGGCGACGAGAACGGAGATTCCTTTCATGATGAATTGAGGGGCTGGGGTTCTCTTCTGGATCTGGAGCACAAGGATGCTTTAGATGGGCGGGCTGCGAGATGAATACCATGATGAAGGGGAGCTCTGGGCTTTTTGAATTGAAAAACTTGCAGCATCTTTCAAGACTTGAGGATGGCGAAGATGTTGGACCAACGTATTTTGTTGCTATCAAATGGGTCTTGACAGCTCATGCATGAGGTGATTTTCCTCTGCTCACTTCGCTATCCGTATCTGCAAGCTTTCGCCTGAAACACCTGATCTTAGGATGCGAATCGTGCATGTCGAAGAGTCTGTCAACTTTAGTTGCGGCTTCATTTGCCGTTCGAGGCGACGCGCTCTGAGATGGACGATTTTCACAATTTCAATCTTTTCAAGCATGACACACAACCAGGGCTTTTAGATGTTTTCTTGGCCATGGATCCATTCTCTGTATCGACCCGTCAGAGATCCGGTACGGTAAGGACATGCAGTCGCTAGACTTTTGAACAATTTGCTGTGATCTGGAGTCCCCCAGGCGCTACTTGGCTTCGTCCGAGCACCGTATGGCCCAATATCGGATACCCAGGTCAGTATAGGGAAAAGCTTAAAGCCTTCTCGAGCACAGATTATGGATGCTTAGCCGCGCCCACAGAGGTTCGCCATCCGGTTGAGATACAATGGGCTCGCGGCTATCCGGCGTTTGCCTCGTAATCTCAAGGCTGCATTGATCAACCAGCCCTGGCCATGCTGACGGAAAGGGGACGGGGTTGCATGCGGATTAAGTGGGATTAAAAATAGAGATGCCGCCGATGCAAGACAAGGCGCTGGGATAAGGATGTAGGGATTCCACGTGCGTTCTCCTGTTCAAGGATGGGCCGCGTCGCTGACGCCATAGACTAGAGGATGAGAGAAGGTCGGCTCAACGTCAGCGTCGTATCGACTGGTCCTGAGACCTGAGTAGACCCAAATTCTGAAAACGGCACTTCAAGTGATATGTACGAGTAACGCCACGTTTTCTTTCACCTGCGATGGCTGCTCGAAACTACAAGCGCCTCCGCGGTCAGATGCCTCGTCGTGAGTGATGGCGCGACATTTAATTTTCAGAGATATCTCGTAAGCTTTGATATTACGTGGGAATCTGACGAAGAGAAACGGCCCGATTCTGCTTGGTCCATGGGTAGGAAACCCATCAGTGAACCGACTCAGCTTGTTCCTAGTCCTTAAACATGGTTTGTGCTGCCGCCAATGGTATTTGCCCTAGAAGCTACCGGCATGAAGTGGTTTGAAGGTTGAAGCAGTTTTTCAAGAACATCAGCTTCGGGCGCTTCTTGGATTTCTGGCTCTTTGAAGAAGCTTATTTTCCCACTGCGATGAAATCAAGCGTTGAGTTACCCCTTGGCTTGCCACGTAGCCCGAAATGTCACCCGTCACAAAGACGTCCGGTGAGATCGTAATATGGATTGTCGGAGCGGTTAGCAAGGGTAGTTGGGATCTTAGGGTTCTGCTTTGATTTGTCTGGGGATCTCAATATCGGGGCATTCTCAGAATGCTTCAACGTTGCATGTCATCGGGCCAATTTGAGACGCTGCGATTGGCCCGCCTGCATCCATCAAGGTAGCTCGTCACGACTGATACATTAGCCAAGCGCCCGTCGTCTCGAGGCGGCCGAGTTGGGCCTGCGCAGTGGCATGTTGATGGCCCTGGCCGAGATACCGAAGAGCCGACTGGCTAGTTCAGAGGGCGACTGGACTGAAAACCGCAGACAGGAGAACGAAACGGAAGATCATGGTTCTCCCTTTGAGTAAACAGATGACCAGCAGCACCAGCGCCGCTCGCCCTTGGAGATTGGCCAAACGCTCCATTCTTTGGCGCCCGGTTTGGTTCAGGCCCCACGTGCGTCCACCGCCATGTCGTGCCTAGCCGCGTGGCGGACACGAGACAACGTGAGGGGGATGCAGCCTGGACATGTTGTATGCCCTGTTTGCCGCGCTGGGACTGAGAGCGCGGCTTCATGGCGAGATCGGCACCACGTTGTCATGTATCATCATGGGCCCCCCATCTAGGCTCTCCTCGCCATATATTCCCAAATCCTCTATAGGAAGTAAGATAAGTTTCATTATACGGGCAATTTCCACGCAGATGCTCATGGTGGAAGTTTCGGTAAATGAAAAACGCCGTTGACGTTGCCCTCCGTTTTCTCCCGGGGAAGTCGATAGGATCGTAGCATCCGCCACGCGCATGTATGCATCATGTCTCCAATTTTGGGGCTGCCATGCCCTTCCTAGCTACCGGCAAGCAAACTTCGCATCGGTGCTTGACCGGTGATAAGTGCGTTACACAGAGACCTTGGGGGCCTCGGGCGGCACAGCCGGTCCTCGCCTCGGACAGGGACCCGCTGTCTGCGACCTGCCGCTGCACTCGGCTGGAGCTTATCACGGGGGCCGGCATCGATGCCCATATGCTCTTGTTCTGCGTAGTTTTGTTGAGCCGCTCTGGCGATACTGAACGAACAGGATCAGGAGAGATTCCACGTTGGGGGGTTCCACTAGGGACGGCGAGTATCTGTGATTCGTCCAAGCAAAGACATGGGCTTTCAAATATCGATAAAAGACATTTTATCGGAGCTTGGAGCCGAAGCGGGAGAGCCTCCGGCCCGGGCGGAGCAAGCCGGTACGTTTCTCGGCCGAGGCCCGGATGTTATCCCACCGGCGCTGGTCGGGTGACATGGGGCAGTACCCACTTACCCTATAGCAGCGCAAATTCTCAAGCTCAACGTTCGGCTCACTCTCCTCCATCGCTCGCTCTGGTAGACAAGCACTGCCCGCGCACCGGAGAGCCGAAAGCTGATGCTTCTCCAGGAGAGGAGAAACGGCTTGGAATGGAAACGTCCGAATCTCTCCGCGCTGAAATCGCCAAGCAAGAGGCCCATCTCGCGTCCCTCAAGGCGCGACTCGTCGTCCAAGAAGCCAAAGAAGAAGAAGCACAACGGAAGACGCCTCGGTCGCCGCCCCGGCCTTTGACGAGTCACGAGTACGAGCGCTATGGACGGCAGATGATTGTGCCGGGCTTCGGCCTGCAAGGTGATTCCCGAAGCTGGCTGCGCTCGGATGGCTGGGAGCTGACGACGACTACCCGTGTCCAACAGCGCAGCTGAGGCTGAAGCAGAGTAGAGTCCTCATCGTCGGCGCGGGCGGGCTTGGCTGTCCGGCCGGCGCCTATCTCGCCGGCGCGGGCGTGGGCACTCTGGGTCTCGCCGATGGCGACAGAGTCGAGGCATCCAACCTGCATAGACAGATTGCCCATACGACGGATCGCGTGGGCGTGCCAAAGGTGCTGAGCGCCATCCGATACTTGCAAAGGTGAGCCGGCCTCTTATCGCGAAAACACAAGATCACTTGGTGCATGAGTGCCGTGTGCTGAGCCCTCCCGAGCCAGGCTCAACCCTTTGGTCAACTACCAACAACACGACAGCCTCCTCTCCCCCTCAAACGCCGAGGCCATTGTCTCGCAGTACGACGTCGTCCTCGACTGCACCGACAACCCGGCCACGCGCTACCTCGTATCCGACATGTGTGTCCTCATCGGCAAGCCCCTCGTCTCGGCCTCGGCCTTCCAGACCTCGGGCCAGCTCATTGTGCTCAACAGCCCGCCCGGCGCCGGGCCCTGCTATCGATGCGTGTTTCCCCGCCCCCCGCCGCCCGAGACCGTGGTCGGATGTGGCGAGGGTGGCATTCTGGGGCCTGTCGTGGGCACCATGGGCCTTCTGCAAGCTCTCGAGGCCATCAAGCTCATCGCAAGGGGGGGCGTGCCGCAGGCGCGGACCAAGCCCAAGCCTGAGACCGAGCATGGACTGTCAAGCACAAAAGAGGAGGGGACGGCAACGGTTGATGGGCCGAGGCAGCAGCAGCAGCAGCACACAATGCTGCTCTTCAGCGCCATGGGCGACGGCGGCAGCCCGTCCTTCCGCTCGGCGCGCATGAGGGGCAAGCGCCCAGACTGCTTTGCCTGCTCTCCCGAAGGCGGCCTGACACTGCAACACCTACAGCAGTCGATGGATTACCACCAGTTCTGCGGCGTCGCCGAACCCGTCTCCCTCCTGCCGCCCGAGCATCGCATCAGCGCCCAAGACTACCACCGTGTCCGCACCGCGCAGCCGGACCACATTCTTCTCGACGTGCGTGAAAAGGAGCACTTTAGCCTCGGCAGCATGCCCGGGGCCGTCAACGCGCCCATGTCCCGGTTCAATCGCGGCCAAGGGATACCCGACGACGTCTTGTCAGCGGACGCGCGGGACACGGCTCCGATATACGTCGTCTGCCGAGTGGGCAACGACTCTCAGCTTGTAGTGCAGAAGCTCAAGGACTCGGGGCTGGATCAGGGAGGGAAACGGTTCATTGGAGATATCAGGGGGGGTTTAAAGGCATGGAAGGACGCCGTGGACCCCACGATGCCGTTCATTTAGCCATGAGACATCAGCCATGAGACAGATGCACAGGTTTCTGCTAAATAGACTGACGACAAGACAGAGGCATACAGGTAGGTGGGTTGTGAACGACGAGTGAGACGAAAAAAAAAAGGGTCGTTTGACCAGAGGATATGAACGTTGCAAACGTAACATGTAGCCTTTCATATACCACCTTATCCTCCTCGCGCCTGTTGATTCCTCGAGCTCACCATGCGGAAAGACCGGTTTGTTGGGGCTGCGCTGCGTGCTTCCTGACACGCAGTTTACCGGCGTCGATCCTAGACAAAGTTGGCCGTCTTCTTCTTGTTAAAGGCCCGCTGGTCCTTGAGCCACCTCCGGTAGCCCAGCACGCTCTGAATCTTTTCGCCGTAAAAGTCGGGGACTGCAGAGTCATGTCAGTCTATGGCGGCAACAGGGCCAGGGTGGGAATGCGGGGGTACCTGGGTTTCCGGCACTCGAGTTGGAGGGGTCGACGCGGTTCTTCTTGACGCGAGCAAAGAATTCGCTCTCCTTGTCCATCATCTGGACCTTGAGGCGGCGGTTGAGGATGTAAAAGACCTGGTTGCCGAGGCTGGGCCCGACGAGCCAGCCCATGCCGGCGCAGGCGAGCGTCATGAGGCCGAGGGTGAAGAAGGGGTCGAGAGGGACCTGCATGACGAGGGGCTCGGCCAAGCCGGTGGAGACGAGGATGGCGCCGCCGGCACCGCCCATCAGGCCGCCGGCGACGGAAAAGGCAATCTGGATGCGGCGACGGCGGAGACGGAGCTGGAAGAAGGAGTTCCAGTCGAGGGCGGGCTTCGATGCCGAGGCTGAGGCTTGCTTGGCGAAGCACCGGGCTGCGGGAACGGGGCGCGCTGGCAGGGGCGTCGGCTTGGGTCTGAGGGCCCAGCGGCGGGAGACTGTTGGGTCACATGCCGGTCTCTGGCGCGGCGGAGGCTGTGCGAAGCAGGTCGAGAAGGAAGCCTTGGGACAGGCTCGGACAAGGCTCTGCTGGGGGGGCCAGCGCATGGCGAGCGTCCTAAACGCCGACGACATGGCGTCGCAGTGGTGAGAGAAGCGAGAGGCGCAGGCGAGTCAGCGGAGCATCGGGAGGGGCCGCGGCGGGCGGGGGCAGATCGGAGGTTGAGGATGGATGAAGCCGTTGAAAATCGTCAGGAAAAGGCGGCGGCGCCTAAGCTCGGGTGGGGGGTCTCACACAAGGTACGGGGCGACTTGCGGACGAGACGGGCCGTCGTCCATGTACCTCACGGCTCGCTGCTGTAAAATCGTATCTCCGATCCGGCCCGCCTCGACCCGACTTTTGCATAACTAATTGATAAATCGCTTCCTGGTGCTATTTTGTCGGGCTTGAAAAAAAGGTACTTTGTATTGTGACTTATTGACTCTTCACTCTTTTTACCATCTGCAACCAACCAACTCTTCCCTGGTTCAACCAAACTCTGAAAGAGTCCGTCGTCGCAGCTAAGATTTAAGTTATGGGTCACCACTTTGTATGCTCTTGTATGGGCAACAACAACAGTCCTTGTCACTGTTGACGCGTAAGTGGTGCTTCTAAATTGCTAGCAGTTAAAGTGCGTCCCGACAAGGGTGCGCGCAGTCTGGGCTCTCTGTCATTTCCCCACAAACAACTCCGAGACGTCTACTTCCATCTTCAGCTACTGGTGGAAGAAACTGCTTAATCCTCCACCCCTTCCTAGGGCTACTGCAGCTAGAGAAACATCAACAGCAACATAATTCACAGTCCGTCTAACAGGTTCAACTCATCTTGCTTTCTACTGGCCATGCTATGTTCCCCCCGCCACCGCGGTCCCCTGGATACAAAAAAACCAATTGCTACAAACAAACGCAAGAACTTGCATACAATTACAAAGCAAGGCACAATGCGGCCACCAGCAAGCCCGCCGCAGCCACCGGATAGCCGCTCGACCTGCCCGATGTCGCGGCTCCCTTCATCTTCTGCCCGTCCGAGCTCGAGCTCGCCTTCCCGTCCTTGGTCAGTGTGGCCTGGCCAAAGTTGGCGTTGAGCTTCTCGCACCACAAGCCGACGACGGAGAAGTCGGCCGCTGTCTTGCCCGCGTCCAGCTTTATAGTGTTCGAGTCGCCCGCGGCGGGTTTGGTGACCTGCTCGTTGTTGATGCGGAACCCCGACGGCAAGTTGTCCGTCGTCGAGCCCCACCAGTACAGAGCCGGCGCAGATGCATCCTTGAGCTTGTAGTCGGATATCATGAGCGTCGTGTTGTCGACTACTTTGACGGTGCCGCCGAGTCCGCCGTCAAGGGACGAGAGGGTGCCTGACCAGCCGGCTTCCGCGGCTACGGCAGCGTATGGGAGGAGGGAGAGAATTGCGGCGGCCTTTAAAAGCATGGTGTCCCAGTTGAGCTCGAGGCAACCCGATGGAGTAGAATTCGTAACTTGTGGGACCCTGTAGGGGAAAGGATATCCTTCCAGCGCAATGGAGATGATGTATCGGCTTGAGTCGAGAGTCATTTGGCTGTCGGAGTAACCCCTTTATAACAAAAACCGCCACCGCCCAAGATCTGTTGATGCCAACGCCGATGCGAAGCGCCCAAGAGTCGTATTGGCTGTTTGATTCCACATCCGCTCGGACGCAGTCGTCGTGCCGGCAGATTCAGAGCAGCCTTCCATTGGCGCGTCTCACGACCGGACGCGGCTGTGCATAATATTGACCTTTCCCGCCGAGATCAGCACGACGACGACGCTTGTAAGCAGCGGCGCATGCGCACTATGGAATCATCTTCGTCGGGGCGGTTGGACGTAGGCCTACGCCGGAGACGAACCAAAAGGCTATTGCTAGTGACCATGTGCCAGCGACCCCCTGCAAGGATCAAAGACAGGCTATTTGATGGGCGTTGTCACTGAGACATGGTTTGGAATCAACTAGCACTGGCCCCTGGTGCCTTAGCGCAGCGGTCAAGTGGCAGCGACTCCATACACTTTCAAGATTTCGTACAGAGATGCCATATTCTCCGGGTGCTTGTTTGAAATCATCAGTGACACAGCCCCTTCTTCCGTCAGAGTCTGTCAAATCTTGGGCTATCTTTTCTTCAGCGGCGACGAGGATCATGGCCATGGACATTTCTAGCACTCTTTATAAAGTGCAGGACAAGACACGCTCCCAACTGCGTCCATGTCAACATCAATATAGCGAAACAACTGCCTTTATACTCAGTCCCTATTGCCTCCACGTGCACGGAGACTTCACCCTCGCAGGCCTTGATGCAACATGGTCAACCCCATCATCCAGGATCAATACACCGCCGCCAGGGCCTATTTCGCCTCGGTGGTTGGCATTCTTTTCGTCGAGAGCCTGCTCCGGCTCCCAGCGTACCTCGGTCTCAAGTATCGGCGCGGTGAGTGACTGACTGCCTCGTATGGGGCGTCGTCGCAACGATGGCCGTATCGCTCATTGTTCTCAGGTCGACCAAGGCGCGGGCACGGCCTGCCACACTGGAAGCTCACTGTCCTCGTCCACAAGCTTCTCACCCAGCCGCTGCCGGTCCCCTCCGTAACCGACTGGCATGTCGCCGACCTGATTCGCTTCCTCGTCTTTGTCGCACTTAACGTCGTCTTCGGGCTAAACGATAACAACTACACGACCGACTATAAGCTATACGGCTGGCTGACCATTGCCAACGGTGGACTGGCACTGCTCATGGCTGCACGCACCAATCTATTTTCAATCTTGCTGCGCATCCCAAGCCCCGTCCTGCTGCAGTACCATCGCTGGGCCGGCATCGCTACCGTGGCCCACGCAACAGCGCACTTCTCCTACAACACAATGCACTACCTCCGTACCGCCCAGATCGCGACAAGCTTCGCCAATTCCCGGATCCGCATTGGCCTTGTGGCCTGGCTGAGCCTGGTCGTCATCCTCCTTACGGCGCTGCCCGTTGTGCGCCGCCGGGGCTTCGAGGTCTTCTACTACGCCCACGCTCTGTTCTTCGTCTTCATGGTCGGGGCACTAATCCACACCACAAACGGGCCCGAATTCCTGCTGCCCGGCTTCTCTCTCTGGGTTGTCGATCGAGCCATCCGCTTCGCCTATAACTTTCGGCGTATTGAGGTGCTAAGCGTTAGACATTACGAGGGGAATGTCACCAAATTCAAGGTCAAGGGCATCAGGACGAGCCACCCCGGACAGGTCGTATGGGTCCAGATTCCTAGTGTCTCATTCTTGAACTGGCATCCATTCACCGTCGCGACCGAGCCAGGAGAGACCAACGGGCTCGCCTCGATTGCGGTCAGGGGTCTCGGTCGATACACAAAGGGGGTGCAGCATGCCGACGACGACGGCGAATACAAGGGCGACGCCGGCGACGCCGGCGACGGAGCAGACCGTCAGAGAACAGCCGCCACGGCTAGCGAGTTAAAGATGCGTCTTGACGGCCCCTACGGCGTTGGCCGGACACAATGGGGTGAACTGCCGGTGGCGGTTCTAGTTGCCGGCGGCATCGGAATCACTCCGGCCATCAGTATCGTGTCGCATCTAGTCAAGAAAGCCGTCCCCTCGAACGGAGGCAACGGTTTACCCGCACCGGGAGCCCCTGCCGTCCCGCATATCCATCTGCTCTGGGTTGTCAAGGAGACATGTCATATAGAGTGGTTCGAGGATGAGCTGCGTCAACTGCACGCTTTGTCTTCGCAGGATCACGTACTCGCCACCCTTGATATCGCCATTTACACTACCGCCAGCGCGAGCTCAACACTTGACCCCCCACAACGCCCAGGGGAGCCGGACGAGATACGTGAGGCTAAGCCTGTATTGGACCCGTGGACCGTCAACACCGGGAGACCGGATGTGATGGCCTGGTTCGACCAGGTGAAGCAAGCACGCGCTGGAATGGATGCTGCGGTGAACGTGTGTGGTCCGAGGACTCTGGTTAACGAGGTGCGAAAGGCAGCCGTCGCGGCAAGCTGGGAGAAGGGGCTGTTTCACGTTGAAGAGGAGATTTTCGAGTTATAGAGATGTAAGCCGTAACGGGACCCAAGTACGACACCTCAGGTTATACTCATAGCTAGGCTCCAAATGCGGTCTCCTGAGGAGGCGGAAGCATGTGGTGAAGCTCCCCGCCTCCTTGTAATTTGGCTCTGAACTATATACATGTAGCCTTACTAGTATGTTAGGGAAAGACAGATGTTGCAAGTAGAGATGGCACGCATACTGAAGAGCTGTCTGGACCCGCTTGCGATATTATTCGTGACCCCTTCGTCTCTATTTGGAGACAAGTTTTGCTGCCTCAGCGCCAGTCTGATAGCCTTTTCAGCTCCACTCAGCCATAAATCGCCGGCTCGATCCGATGAGTCTGAAAACCGAAGCTTGAAATTCAATCCATAACGACCATTCCCTGAGAGACGGCGCCGGCGCCCAAAGCTCCTGCATCAAAACGCTGAATGGCCTCTGCCTTCTGGCCTCCACCTCCGGCATTCATCACCAGTATCTGCGTGTTTGTCTTCCCATCACCCGGCGCCAGGACATAGACAAAGTTTCCCACGGCCTTCAGGTCAATCATCCCAGTCGCCCCCGTCGACGACAAGTCCACAGTTTGCACGATGCTCGCATCCTTGAGGCTCATCTCTACAAGCTTTGGTACCCCCACGTCCGTCACAAAGGCGGTATTCCGGACCGGGGAAATGGTCACCCAGCAGGTGGCTTTTTGCCCGTCAATGGGCTGTGCGGCCACCAGCGATCCCTGGCCATTGGCGCCAACAGAGAGGATGGCCCCGCCAAAGGAGGCGTCGGTTGCAAAGATGTTGGATGTCTTGGGGATTGGCAGAGAGCCAAAGAGGACGGCGGTGCCTTTTGGGGAGCTGCGCACGTCCTGCCGGGATAGTGCAGTAGCGGACATGGACTTTTGAGTAGGAAATGCCGAGAGGAACCCGGTGTTGTTCTTATCCGGGTCGCCTTTGACCGTGGCAAAGAGCACGCTTTCGTCATTGGACCAGAAGACCTGAGATACAGTGTTTGTCGGTCCGACGGGCGGAGTAGACTGCTTCAACTCGAACTCCCGGAGCTGGTCCATCTTGCCAATGCCGGTTTGAGCATCGAAGTTGGCGCATGAGATGCCGGCTGCAGCACCAGTTGCACCAACACATACCATGGCGTTCTTGGCCGAAGCAGCAACGGTGTTTGTGAACTCTCCAGGGACTGCCGCAGGCTTGCCCACGAGAGCCAGCTGTGAGGGATTTTGCGGGTTGATGGCAAACATGGAGACTGTGTTGGACCCGGCGTTGACCGCAAAGAGGTGCTGTCCAAACCATCAGCCATGTCCGCAGCATTGCCATGAAGAAGATGGCGACTCACATTTCCTGCCATGCTCAGAGAAGACTGGCTTACAAGCCCATCTTTTGCCGCCGGTGCCTTAGTAGCGCCATCAATAGAGACGGAACCCCGTCCACCGGTAGACGTGCGAGTCCCCCCGGAGAGCTTTCCATCGGCGCCAATGGGCACCGCGACAACCGCATTCTCACCATTGTTGGTCATGAAATACACAGCCTTTCCCACCTGCGCTGACGCAGAGCCTCCGTTTCCGCGGGGCCTTGCCAAAGCCCCGAGGGGGAGCGCGAGGAGCGCGAGCAAGACTGAGGTAATGGGTGGACAGGGCATTATGCGATCTGAAGAAATGAATTAAGGCGAGATTAACTATCGTCAACTGTTGTAAATTAGCGTTTTGAAATTAGGGGGAAAAGAAGCGGTGAATAATTCGTGGGTAAATTTTTCTTTTGGATTTATCATTCGATCAGTTATATATATATATATGCTTCCCATTTGTGCTCGCTGATGTTGTGCAGACTTGGGCTGCCCCCCATGGATGCCTCCTCGCGCGGCGGCGAGCACATCTTTGGAATCACTTTCGACATCCTTCAACTCCAGCGTGATTACATCTTTGGAATCATTCTCGCCATAGATACAAAGCCTACGTCCTGTGGAGGGGTTCCGCGGGCCAAGTTTAGCGGTCTGACGTGAGATGAAACATAAGACTGGATTCGCGTTTAGGAACTGGAGGAGTATGAGGCCCGAAACACGGCCTGGGACAGTGGCGCAAGACACAAGGGAGCGCCAAGAGGAACATCAATCCTTCCTGTCAAAAGGTTCCGGTCAAATGAAATCGGCGGGAGGGGCAAGACGGGATCTCAAAAATGTCGTTAGGGTAAAAATCAGGGCAATGGGGGCAGGTCTGGTTAATAACAGGCCCAACGTGGTGCGTGTAGTCTCGTCGCAGCTACAATCGTAGGTTCTGGCAGATACAGGCAAAGATACTTGGAAGACCAGATGGTTGGATCGTAATTAATTTAATTAGCGTCCCGACACGGGAATACCTGGCAAGTTTGTTGTGCCCCCGACTTCCAGCAAAATGTCAGCAAAGTAATTATGGTTCCGCCGTGAGACCATTCATGCCGCCCGCACAAGCGCCCATACTCGCCGAGCTCCGGGCCACCGCTTCTGTCCAAGAAGCAGCCTCTCTGTCGTCGCTCGGAGTACTGGCTGTCGAAAACTGCACTGAGAGCTAGAGCGATGGAACAGCCGTCGGCAGTGCACTTTACCCCTGTTGACAACGGGCGTTGACGCAGCCACGGCCATCCCTGTACCCTCGAAAACGATAACTTTCCAACTTGAGGTGAACGGGGTTTTTTTTAACGACTCTGATATTCAAAGCTAAGAACCACAAACTTTTGGTCGCCGTCTTTGTCCGCCGCCGCCACATACCACCAGATCAAGTCTTCAGCGCGGAATTGTGATTGACCTACTCCATCCATCCATTCTCATTAGTAAACGTGCTCGAAAAGAGCCAACTGGATATAGCCTCAAGCCTCGGGCTCGGCAATGGAGCCGCGGTCCTTGTCGCACTCGATCTCGTCACGGTCCTCGTCCTTGGGCTCGCCCTGTCCGGTCAGGCGCACCGTGCACCGGCACTTGGCCGCATCTTCGAGGCGCTTGATGCCCACCGGCTGACACGACTCACCTTCCTCGGACTTGCAAGAGTTGACACAGGCCTTCTTGGCCGCCGCATCCTCAAACTCGTCTCTGAGGCTCTTGTCCAACATCTCATGCTCCTCTGCAGTAAGCTCCTCATCCTCTTCTTCCTCTGTCCTTGCTTTTTTGTCGCCGCATGGATTGAAATTCTTCTTGTTGGGATCGACGTTAGCGTACACCCGGTGGTGCTCGACGCTGCAGGTGAGAGCGTCGAGTGGTCCCGAAAAGCCAAAGAGAGATTTGTCCTTGATGCAGGTGCTAAACTGGTTTACACGATGACGCTCGAAGTTTGCATCGTAGGGGTTTCCCGTCTTGGAGAAGCCGTCCTTGTACCAGTACTGAGGGAAGATGTGATCGTACCGGTTGCGCAGAAACCAGCGAAACCTGCCGAGCCCTGCAAGCGGGATCGCCACCACGGCGTCGTTCTGGTTGGCGATGCGGAAGTTGGTGCCTTGGTTTTGATTCTCGACGAACCGGGCAAACTGACGATTGCCCACGCGCGGCGAGCCGTAAGTGTAGAGGTCGCAGTTGTGCCCGCGCTTTCGAAGGTAGGCGCTCGCGACTGTGGCCACGGCTCCACCGAGCGAGTGGCCAGTGACGACGACCTTTGTGTACCCTTTCTTGTCTTTGAGAGTCTGCACCGCCTTCAAGACGTCTGTCTTTACGCTGGAAAAGGCAGCCCGGAAGCCGTTGTGCACTTGGCAGTCCTCGCAGAGCTCTCTGCGGCAACATGTCAGATCATCGATCAAAGCGGCGGTGCAGGGAGCTTACGTATCATCGTCGCCAAACTTGGTGTCCCCCATGGTAAAGTAGAGATCGGTGAGAACATCCTTGGCCGTCGTGGTTCCCCGAAAGGCGACAATGATGGTCTGCTTGACGGGGTCCCTGGCGACGTAGCCCGAGACACCGTACTTTTCAAAGTCCAGTAATTTACGCGAGTTGAACTCCTTGAACGTTGTTGTCGTGTTGACGAGATCGAGGCATGCGCCGGGGTCCTGGTTCTCGCACACCGAGTGCTCCGCGGGCCCGTCTGTAACGGATGGGCAGTATGCCGCTTCAGAGTACTCCGAATAGAGTCGGAAGTTGGCCTTGAGCTCCTGATCTGGCGAGAGTCCTGCTTGTGCATGTGCGTCAGCAACACTAGACACCCCAATATATGCGAGGAGCGGTTGAGAGACAGAAGTGGTAACCAACCTTGGGACAACGCGGATGAGGCCAACAAGGAAAGTCTGAAAACATGAGGGGGCCGCATTTTGCCAGAATTTTGCTCTTCTGACACTTGAATACGAGGAGTCGGGGCTGGCTGAGCATCAAGAAAAAGGAGAACGAAGCTCAGCAGACTTATATATAAATCAGCATTGACCAAAGCAGGAGGTTAAGTAGCGTAAATGCCTTTGCCAACTGAAGAAGATACGTGAGGCAATGCTGTGTCCAAGGGTAGCCCAAGGACTTGGGCTCCGCCTCATCTCCATCAGAGAAGCATATCCCCGCGGGATTTTGGAATTGAATTGCTACCAGAGACTGGGAGCTCCGTGGCTTCTGGTATTGAAAATCTTTCAGTCGGGGTTTTGTCGTGTTGGGAGGGCCGCTAACAAAGCCGAACCCTGTGTGCGAGTAAGGGTGCAAAGACGCGAAGCAACCCTTCCCGCTCAACAGGACAACCAGTTGACAGCGACAATTTATCACGGACCGAGGGATCCATCGGATGAAATGCGTAAGGTGGGTTAGCTGGCTTAGTTGACGTTTATTAAGGGGCCAAGCTCATTTTGCCGAGGCAGACTAACCTTGTTTCTTGAAGGCGAAGCAGCCGTCGAGTCTAGGCTACGCTCGGTAGCCTTAACAGGTAACAAGTGCCGGACCAATGACAGACTTAAAAGACGTTGATCACCGGGGATGACATCCAAGCACGTGTGTATCATGACTCATGCCTTGCTTGGATGCCTCGTCACGTCTGCATAGCCTACCAACAGAGTCCACTGTTTTCATGCGGTAATGCACCGCCACGTGGTTGGTGGCCCATGACTCTTGGCTACAAGCAAGGACCCATAGGGGAATCTTTAAGCTTAAGCCAAACTAGCGGAGGTAACGTTAAGACGAAGCTTGGGCTACTTAGCCAAGGCTAACGGAGAGTGAGGTCGCTTCCCAACAGGGTCGCTCATCTCTAGTCGCCCTACAGCCGCCGCCTAGGAAGTTGCTTACCAGTTAAATACCGTCCCTAAGCAGTGTAACCATCCATTTCCGATGATTTATATCTACAGCACAATTGCAGACTCATGTTATTCACTCTAAAACAAGCAAATTTTCACAACGTTGTTCGAAAGTACAGCCTCAAAGCACTAAAGATGCGCGTATTATCGTTGGCGATGACCAGTCACGTCGTGGGCAAACAGAGACTTACAACAGACCCCAGAAACTCGGTTTACAGTGAAACATATTAAGAGCTGCGACGGGCAACCTGACACCAGACAAGGGAGCCAAGCTCGATAATGACAATAGTTCGGCACGCTGATTGGTTCACTCTTTATCACAATATATACTTATCTCAGATCTCTTCTTGGGTCTTCTCACGCCGCCTTTCATCAATCTTGTAGGGCTGCCGCTTTAAATACTGAGGGCAGGCTCCTTTTGTCAACAGGAAGCGCTCGAGAAACTGTGCTCTAATAGATCACACTTCGTCGGGTTCCCGGTTTTGACTGCTGGAGAACCCTCGCGTCATATCGTTTATCCCCATCTGAATGTTATCACTCATCGTGCTGAGGCTCATTTGACTTTTTGCCTGCCAACGACAGTTTGCCATGAACAGAGCACCTTCTAGCTGAACCGATATGGGCTTGCGCGATCTTATCGCCTGTGATCCTTCGCTACTAGCTGACGCGAGCCCCCTGACATGAAAGTCGAATCGATCTAGAAGCCGGCTTCACCACCCAGAAGCGGCAACGTCTGCATTCGCACCAAGCCCAGGAGCATGCCACCGCGCCTGCGAACGAGTTGAATCAGGGCCCCCAGATCCTGTAGTCCCAGGTAGCAAGAGAGTAGAACTTTGCTCTAGCACTACATGAACCAATATCCGATATGGCAATCCGGCAACCCATCCACCCTCCATCGGACCCTACTCTCACCAGACTTCTCTCCGACGACGCCTGGCACGTAGCCTTTGCGCGAAAATTTGGCGAGCCCGATGTTTCGGCCGTCATTGTCAAGCCCGGGGCCGAGTATCGACTGGCGCCTCACAGTGAGCTCACCGATGTGGGAAACATTGACGATGACGAACGTGTGGCCTCCAAGAATAGAGTGAGGCACCAGATCGGCCGGGGAAACGACCTCTTCCACGTCGATTGCTCCTACAATGCGCGCCGAGCTGGATACTCGATCCTCCGCGCCCACCAACTGCCGCCCAAGGGAGCCGGCGGAAGGACGGAGTTTGCCGACACGAGAACAGCGCCCGAGGGCCTGGACAATGCGACCAAAGAGATCAGCAAAGACCACGTGCTATGCCATTTGGTGGTGCATAGCAGACAGCTGGGTGCGCCCGAATGCGATCTCTTCAAGAGCAGGGAAGCCGAGGACCACACTATGGCCCGGCACAGGCTGGTGCAACTACACGAGCTGAGCAGGCGCACGAATCTTTACATCGCGGCGCACGCGCACCATGTCGATGGATGGTCCAAGAAAGAAAGCCAGCCGGTGATTGACGATCTGCTCCGGCACTCCAGCCAGGACCAGAATATCTTCATCGTCGACTGGGAAGACAACGGGGATCTTGTTATATGGGTAAGCAAAAGAAGAGACTCGCTCAACCTTTGCTCGTTCGACTCACGCGTCTAGGATAACACGTGCGTGATGCGTAAGGCCCCTGGAAGCGGCTTCGAGGGCAACCATGTCCGCGACATGAGGGCGACGGCCGTGTACGACGACTGGTCGAGCGCTTGTGGGCTGAATTGGAAACATTGTGAAGGGTGTATAGCTTGACGTATGGTGTTGAAACAAATGATCTGCCAATTCCACCGTGGACTGCGTGTTACTCTGCATATGCATGGAGATACAACTGAGCCATTGCACAGTCCACCTTGACCTTGAATTCTCAGCGTCAACCGGGGACAGTTTCGATAATGCCCGCTTGAATAAAAAGCCTTAACCGACACATTCTGGTATGGCCCTTTTCGAGGCCGGTTGTGGCCTCGGAAGTAAAAATCCTCCCTTGATTAGTTCGCCACAGGCCTGGCGCACCCTGGTTTCCTGGCCTTGCCGACCGTCCCGAGCTCGGCGAGGGGATCCATTGGATGAGATTGAGGTGACCATCTGGAGACCACCAAGCGTCCTTGACGCCACTTGTACTTACAGACAAGCGCTGGACTTGAATCACAAGGGCGAACGGCGAATAGACAATGAGCTTGACCTGACGCAATGGGAAGCGGAGCTGAATAGCCATGCCGCAGATGAGCTTGTTCCATCTAGGTTGTCACGGTAGGAGAGGCCGTGTCGGCATATTACGTAGTGAAGGGCAATCTTGCGTTCGATTTTGGCATTCCAAGAAAACATTAGATTGGATCGACATGGGCAAGTCAGACCTCATAGCCTGCAGTTTACTCAAGGGGGAAAGCGTTGCCTAGAGCTGTGCCGTGTCTCAGATATAAAGTGCTCACTGCATACGTATGTAGTGGCGGGTTGTCGACATAACTCGGCCTTTGGGTATGTGCTTGATCGACGAGCCGAGACGCCAACCCACTCAGAAGGCCAAAAGGCTCCTAGCATGTCTGATATTCCGTCAGAATGCTCCAACCCCGGAGTATACTTGCTTGATTGTTTCGAGCGTCATAGCCAACCTCGAAGTAGCGCCATTCTTGTCCGGCCTGCAGTTGTCTTGGAAAGCTGAAAGTCCTCGCGCTTGTTGAAGAATCCTCCCCTCTGTTTGCTGGCCGCACAAAGGCATGGGAAAACGCCTCCCAGATATGTAGCACACTCGTCCATGTCGGAACTCGGGCAGCCTCCACGAGTATAAAGACAGCAGACTCGCCAAGGCTCTTCTCTAACCACATCCTCATCACAGGCACCTCTTGGCTCAATTTTTCCTAGGCAAGCCCGGATCTCTTCAACAATATGCAATTCAAGTCTTTCATCTTGACGGCCGCCTTCGTGGCCGGCGCCGTTGCCAACCAAAATGCCGAATCCGAGCTCCAGTCCTTGACCGCCGAGCAGCTTGGCGCCATGTCGAATGAAGAAGCCACATTCAAGTGCGGCAAACTGTGTGGCAACATCTGCAAGCGCGATCTCGGAGAGGTCGAGAAGATCTCCGAGAACCAGGCCCCGGCTTGCATCATCTGCAAGCATTTCGCCGAGAAGACGTGCGGGCCGCCGCCTGAGCCTCCCAAGCACAAGAAATGCCGCGAGGGTGATCGGGAGTGCTGCCGCCGCCGCGGCGGTCGCAACTGCGGCTCTCCCTCGCCGCCTCCGCCGCCTCCCCCTCCTCCGTGCCGCCCCGGCAGGCCCGGCTGTGATGGTGGCCGACCTCCTCACCCGCATCCTCACCCGCATCCCCACCCGCATCCCCACCCACCGTGCCGCCCAGGCAGCCCCGACTGTGGAGGTGACGAACCCCCGTCGCCGCCTCCGTGCCGCGGTCGTGATTGCGGAGATGGAGACGGCCCTTACGATGACAACTAAGGGAAGGACACCTGTCATATCGCGCACACTTGGCTCGCAAGTTGAACGTTCCGCCGGATAGGTTGCCTGAAGAGCCAGAGACTGGATGTTGCCTGGACTTTGAAGTTCGATGTCTGTCACCGAGCCCGGTAACGGTGTCTTCCAGCGCCCGCTTCATGTGCTGATGAAGATTACGAGGGATGGCTCGGTTTTATTTACCATTTAGCTGCCTCAAGCAATTCACTCCCGTTAACTACTTGCCTTTACACCATCTCCATGACTGTTCCCCCCTGAGTCTTAAACCTTGTACCAAGGAGTTTTTTTTAGGATTCCAGCCCAATGCTATCACAGTGACGTGATAGAGCAGCAAGCCCAAAGACACCAGCACGAAGTCAATATCTCCCGTCAATGAATACACCTGACTTATCGGTCCAACTTATACTCTCTCCCCTATAGCGCGTAATATAACGCAGATTGACCAGTCACTCTAGTTGGATGGCCTAGAAGGGAAGAATATGCGGGAATGTCCGCTTTGCCTTAAGGAACGTAGTGACGAAAGGTTCTTCTCAAGCAGTGGCTTAAGAGCATAGTAGAAGGTATAGGGGCTTAGAAAGGTAAATTTAGTAATGCATGTCTTGGCCTATCTATTAGGACCAGTAAGGGGCGTATATAGGTGTTAATACTATAAATAGCTAGCTAGAAGAGGGCATTAGTATATCTCTATACCTAAGTTAGTATTATAGGATAAAGGATAAATCTACTAGGTATAAGGTAGAGATAGATAGAGCTACCCTTATCCTATATACTAGATAAGTAATATTAAACTTATCTATATATAAGATAGACCTAATAGCTAGATAGTTAGAAAGGATAAGCCTTTTACTCTTAATACTTAGATGGTATGTCTTTTTTTATAAGTATTGCTAACTATATATATATATACTACTATCCGTATATTCGCCCTATTTTTAAGATACGTACCAACGCTAGCCCGCCCCGCCTATTTATACCGCGCGCGCCTAGCAAGTACCCGTACCGCCTAAATGCCCGCACCCGCGCCTACGCCCGCCCGCATATATATATAGAGGCAATAAAGGCTATATAACGTATGCCTCTTAATTTGCTTAAATAACGTATTTCCGAGCCTTAAGCTCGAAGTTATAATAATCGGCCCGTTAATTAATCCGGCTCCTCCTCTAGCCTTTACGGCTATATGGTCGGCGGCGGCGGCGCCTTAATTGCATCCTACTTAACGATCCCTCTAACGCCTAACGAAGCCGGCTGCCTTAACGAAGCCGGCGGCGCGCCCCTCCTACCGCGTCCTCCTCTTAATCCCCTTCCCCTTATATTTCCTTAAGCTAACGATGAGAGAGCACGGGCTATAGCTAAGTTTATCGATCACGTCCCGCCCCTAGCGCCTTCGAACGCTCGCGTTAAGCCGCGTTAAGCTAGCCTAACTCGAATTAAGAAGCTATAACGCCCGTATAGCTGTAATAGGCGGCCATACCTCTAGTACCGGCTATTATACCGTCTATAATACTATCTATAATGCCCTCGTTATAAGGGAACTTAGTATAAGTAGCTTATTATTATCCTTTTAGCTGCGCGAAGACCGTACTAAGGTTATAGGCAGGGATGCTAGCTAATTAAGACGGCCCGCTATAAGGGGTATATAATTTTACTAGTAAATAGAGCTATAATAAAAGTCTTAATAACACGGGCTTATATAAATCGCTATATTATACTAGTTATATCCCTTCCTTATCTTTATCGGCTGCTTATTGCCGCTAGCGGCTCCTAGTAGCTTACGTTAACTTTATAATCTTAGCTACCTAGCTTTAGAGCCTTAGTAAGCAATATAAGGCGAGCCTTTTAACTATTAGATATATTTATACTATAAAATAAGTATAAATACGTCCCTAGCTTAAAACTATTATCTTAAGCTGCTTACTTTACCGTAGGCTATATAAAGCTCCTCTATAAGGCGCTGCCGCTACTTACGCTATAAGGTTATTTATAAGTAGCTAGGCTACCTATAAAGCTATATAAGGTAGCTATTAATAAGTATAGTTTTAAGGAGGAAGGACTATATAAGTGCCCGCTAATTCCCCTTATTAATATAGTAGTTATTTCCTATGCCTACTTAAAGCTAGTTACTAATATTAACGCTACCTATCTTATTATTATACTTTATAGAGATTAATAGTATAGTAAGACGCTTAACGGGCTTATTACTAAAGTCTTACTATATTAGCTATACTTATAGCTATACTATTATCGGCCCCTAGTAAATACGCTATTTTAATTCCTTGCTTAAATAGGCTATTAAAAGGAAAAGTATAAGGGCGTTATCCTTCTAAGTAAATTAGTTAACCTAGGGGAAAGGGAGATACGTTAGCTAGAGGAATACTAGTAAAGATATCTATTTACTCTTATACCTAACCGTTAGGGGTAGGTATATTACGACCACGGTCTAGTAAACCGCGGGGGACTAGTATATATTATAAGAACACGTAATATAGGGAGTAAGGAATATTAAACGGACCGACGGGCTAATTAAGTTTAGAGCGATAGGTTACTTAAGCGGTCTAACTCTCTATAACTAGGATTATAGGATCGCTCTAGCGCTCTAGCGCTCCTAGGCAACGGGATCACCTAGTGCTCTCGGCGATCTAGGGAAGCTCTTAAGATAAATAAGGAAGGAATAGAATACTCCTTTAAATAAATAGCTCGATAGCTTTTAATATAATTATTATAATCTCTATTATAATCTTATCTTTAATTCTAATTACTTAATTACTTAGTTATAATCTATAGCTTATAACCTCTAACTTATTACTAATATAATATCTTACTTATTACTTAGACTATACCTTATTATATTAACTAATATAAACCCCTTAATAGGTTTATCCCTTAAGAATAATACTAGTCGTTATACGTTAAAAGCTCTTATTTAATATTAAACTATATTACTTTAAGTAATATCGTAACTATTAATATACTTATATAGTAAACTAGATTAACTAACTTTAAAGCTACTATATTACCTTAGGATATAATATATAAGATTATTACCCTTTAATAGGAGGTTTAGTTACTTAAGAATAAAGGAGGTAATAAATAAGTTAGGGACCTTAGAAAAGTAGTTAAACTAAAATAGCTAGGACTATTTAATAGTACTTATAATACTCTTTAAGACTTTCTTACTTAATATAAGGCCTATTACTAGTTTTACTTAATAAAACTCTTAAACTTAATTAAAAAGGTACTTTATATAGGAAATTATTTATTTAAAATAGTACTCGCTTAGTTTAAACTTATTATAAAGGACTTTCTTTATAATTAACTAGTATAATAAAATAGCGAAATAGATAAAGTCTTTACTAGTTTCTAAGGATTTAAAGAAGCTATTACTAAGGTATTTATAATAACTAACGAAGAATAAGAAGCTAAATAAAAACTTCGAGAACTTTAATAAAAGACCTTAGTATTAAACTATACTATTAAATTCTATTAAGTTACCTTAAAACTTAAATAGGACGACGAACCTATTATATTACGATTCTATAAAAGAAGTTAAGGACGAACTCTATAAGAAAGATTAACCTAATAGCCTCTTAAATACTATAGTAGTATAAATCGATAATAAATAGTATATATAACGCTAAGAAAAGAAATAAGGAAGAGGAAACTAAAACCTTTCTTATAAAAATAACTTTAGCTAATACGCTAACTATAAGAAAAGGCGCGAAATATAAATAGCCTAGGTATATATAATAAATCCTAGACTAATAGATTTAAGTATAATATAAAAAGGTAAAGGAAAGTATTTTAATTATAAGAAACTTAGATATTACTCTAAGAAATATAGATAACCTTATAAGGATAAGAAAACTTACTAAGTACTAGCTTAAGAAGGTAAGAAATAATTTAATACTACTAATAAATAGGAACTAAAGTATAAACTCCTTAGTTAAACTATATAGTATAACGATAAATATATAGTATACTTAAGTAATAAAAATAGTACTAGATAGTTCTTAAAGCTATTAAGGAGAACCCTTATAATAATATAATAAAGGGGTCCTAAAATATAGAAATAAGTTAAATTTATAGAACTAAAAGACCCTTATCTTAAAGGAGTCTCTTAAGACTAAATTAAGAAAAATAATAAACGATTCTAGGAAGATATATAAAATAAAAATTTAATAAGAGCAATAAGTAGTTTATTAATAATATAGTAAAGAAGATAAGGATATAACCCTTATACTTATAAAACTTAAATAATAACTTAAAGAGGATTAATAAAGTATTAATAATATAAGATTTAAAGAATAAGAAATACTTAGAGAAATAAAAGATAAGAACGAACTTATACTACTACCTTTACTACTAAGGGAAAATGCTATAATTAAAGAACACGCTCTATACTTTAAAAAATTTAAAGAAATACTTAAAATTAAAACTTAATAGATACCTTAAATTCTTATAGAAAACTAATAAGCTATACTAATTCGATATTAACTAGTACTATATAAAGTAGACTATATTATAGCTATTACTATAGTCGATACTATTATAGCTTTATTTAACTAAGGAAAAATTAATATAAAAAAACTATATAAGAAATAAAAAGTTATAAAACGAAAACTTAACCTTTAATATAAAAATAAAGAAAATTATAAAGTATATTATATAATTAACTATAAAGTAATATAATATAAATAATATAGTATTAAAAAATAAGAAATCTTAAATTAGCTATAAGAAATTAGTCTCTTAAGCCTTAATATAATACTATATAATAAGAATATAAAGAAATAATATTAATAATAAATTAAAGAAGAATACCTAAATAAAATAAATAAGAACTAAGTAAAAAATAAGGTACGCTATCTATAAAAGAGCTATAGACTAGTATAATATAATAAGATCTAAGGACCCTATATATAGTAATAGTAAGCTATAGTAACTATATAGTATTAGATATTTAAATCGCGGGATATTACGCGTATATA